GCATGCCACTGATTGTCGACGCCAAGCAAACGACGAAATTGTGCGGTGGAAACCACAAACATCGAACCCCGATTAAGAAGCCTTCAGAAAAAACAGAAAGCCGACTTTAAAGACATTAGTTATTGAGGATTGAGACGAAGGAGACATTAATATGTCATGATTCGCCGAATTGAAGTACATACGACAAAGCTCTCAGAATGAAATTTTAAGGGGATTTAGTAAAATATGGATGCTTTCTGACTGAGCGGTAAGACAAAATAATAAGAAGCGAAGCAGTCTTGCGGTTGGCAGTCGAATATTCGCGGCAATTATAACAAACTGGAGCAATTGATAAATCTAATTCTTAATAATCCGAGAACGCTGAGATCCCGCTAAGTGATGGTGTACCGACGCCGGGATAAAATGGACAAGAGCATATGCCAACAAATGCTGGTTACAGAAGCAACAGGACTGTCGGGATGACAAGGTCCGTCCACGAGAAATTGCTTTAAGATACGTCAAATACAGTGTTAGTGACCATAACATTGGATATAAACAATGTTGAAGAAACGGTTTTCTAATAATAATACTAAACGGCTTTCGACTTCAGCTTACTACAAATGAAGGGGGGTTGAACGTGATAAATGGGTCGTTCTGTCACAAAAGGGATGCACTGCCAAGCGTACGCCGCCATTATCGCCGATCGCTATGTATCTCTATAAATAGATATTAGATAGATATCTTTAAAAAGGTCCAAAACACATATCATCTAGATATTAGAATCGCCATTCATAGAGATTCTATAGACCTTCCATAGGCGTAAATTGCTATCACATATATGTGATAGAGATTTTTCCACTTACCCGTTTGCTGAAGTCACCGTCATAAACCAAGTCAAAATAGACTTTGAGATTGAATGGTAGAGCTGAGTGAAGAACCAATCTGATTTTTCATAACAACCCTCAAGAAAATTCGTGGTTTCCTCGTCTTGCTCAGATTGAACAAAAATTTTCATTAGCTCGGGCGACAAGTATTCATTCCTGACATTGTACCACTACAATTGGTCAATTTCGAAAATTCAGTACATATTCATGATTGGAATGCATATGCTCCTGTGCGTGTTCATACTTCTCGTAGATCATGCGAGCAAGTGGGCTTCGGAGTTTCACGGCCATACCTACGAAAACGGCCTACAGACCTTTAAGGAGAAAAGTAAGTAATTACTAAAAGAAAAACAGCGACTCTTGTACAGAGTTCAAGATCGAGGCTACGTCTACGCATTAGACAGACGCATAATAAAAAACGTTGACCAACACGCTAGAGATAAAGCTTTACAGCCGAGAACCAATTCCGTCAAGGTGATCACCTTGTAACAACCCAAGAAACTGAATGGTTGTTTAAGTGAATCAAGGTCGGCACTTTTAGAACAAAC